CTAGCAGAACTATTAGTCTTCTCCTCATCTAAGCTGACACATCCAACATTGATTACTGTGGCAGCAAGACACTGACTAACAGAACTAGTAGTCTTCTCCTCATCTAAGCTGACACATCCAACATTGATTACTGTCGCAGCAAGACACTGACTAGCAGAACTAGTAGTCTTCTCCTCATCTAAGCTGACACATCCAACATTGATTACTGTCGCAGCAAGACACTGACTAACAGAAGCAGTAGTCTTCTCCTCATCTAAGGTGACACATCCAACATTGCTTACTGTGGCAGCAAGACACTGACTAGCAGAACTAGTAGTCTTCTCCTCATCTAAGCTGACACATCCAACATTGATTACTGTGGCAGCAAGACACTGACTAACAGAACTAGTAGTCTTCTCCTCATCTAAGCTGACACATCCAACATTGATTACTGTGGCAGCAAGACACTGACTAACAGAACTAGTAGTCTTCTCCTCATCTAAGCTGACACATCCAACATTGATTACTGTGGCAGCAAGACACTGACTAACAGAACTAGTAGTCTTCTCCTCATCTAAGCTGACACATCCAACATTGATTACTGTGGCAGCAAGACACTGACTAACAGAACTAGTAGTCTTCTCCTCATCTAAGCTGACACATCCAACATTGATTACTGTGGCAGCAAGACACTGACTAACAGAACTAGTAGTCTTCTCCTCATCTAAGCTGACACATCCAACATTGATTACTGTCGCAGCAAGACACTGACTAGCAGAACCAGTAGTCTTCTCCTCATCTAAGCTGACACATCCAACATTGATTACTGTGGCAGCAAGACACTGACTAACAGAACCAGTAGTCTTCTCGCATCTAAGCTGACACATCCAACACTGATTACTGTGGCAGCAAGACACTGACTAACAGAACTAGTAGTCTTCTCCTCATCTAAGCTGACAGATCCAACATTGATTACTGTGGCAGCAAGACACTGACTAGCAGAACTATTAGTCTTCTCCTCATCTAAGCTGACACATCCAACATTGATTACTGTGGCAGCAAGACACTGACTAACAGAACTAGTAGTCTTCTCCTCATCTAAGCTGACACATCCAACATTGATTACTGTCGCAGCAAGACACTGACTAGCAGAACTAGTAGTCTTCTCCTCATCTAAGCTGACACATCCAACATTGATTACTGTCGCAGCAAGACACTGACTAACAGAAGCAGTAGTCTTCTCCTCATCTAAGGTGACACATCCAACATTGCTTACTGTCGCAGTAAAGACACTGACTAGCAGAACTAGTAGTCTTCTCCTCATCTAAGCTGACACATCCAACATTGATTACTGTGGCAGCAAGACACTGACTAACAGAACTAGTAGTCTTCTCCTCATCTAAGCTGACACATCCAACATTGATTACTGTGGCAGCAAGACACTGACTAACAGAACCAGTAGTCTTCTCCTCATCTAAGCTAACACATCCATCATTGATTACTGTGGCAGCAAGACACTGACTAACAGAACTAGTAGTCTTCTCCTCATCTAAGCTGACACATCCAACATTGATTACTGTCGCAGCAAGACACTGACTAACAGAACCAGTAGTCTTCTCCTCATCTAAGCTGACACATCCAACACTGATTACTCTGGCAGCAAGACACTGACTAACAGAACTAGTAGTCTTCTCCTCATCTAAGCTGACACATCCAACATTGATTACTGTGGCAGCAAGACACTGACTAACAGAACTAGTAGTCTTCTCCTCATCTAAGCTGACACATCCAACACTGATTACTCTGGCAGCAAGACACTGACTAACAGAACTAGTAGTCTTCTCCTCATCTAAGCTGACACATCCAACACTGATTACTCTGGCAGCAAGACACTGACTAACAGAACCAGTAGTCTTCTCCTCATCTAAGCTGACACATCCAACATTGATTACTGTGGCAGCAAGACACTGACTAACAGAACTAGTAGTCTTCTCCTCATCTAAGCTGACACATCCAACATTGATTACTGTGGCAGCAAGACACTGACTAACAGAACTAGTAGTCTTCTCCTCATCTAAGCTGACACATCCAACATTGATTACTGTCGCAGCAAGACACTGACTAGCAGAACCAGTAGTCTTCTCCTCATCTAAGCTGACACATCCAACATTGATTACTGTGGCAGCAAGACACTGACTAACAGAACCAGTAGTCTTCTCCTCATCTAAGCTGACACATCCAACACTGATTACTGTGGCAGCAAGACACTGACTAACAGAACTAGTAGTCTTCTCCTCATCTAAGCTGACACATCCAACATTGATTACTGTGGCAGCAAGACACTGACTAACAGAACTAGTAGTCTTCTCCTCATCTAAGCTGACACATCCAACATTGATTACTGTGGCAGCAAGACACTGACTAACAGAACTAGTAGTCTTCTCCTCATCTAAGCTGACACATCCAACATTGATTACTGTCGCGAGCAAGACACTGACTAGCAGAACCAGTAGTCTTCTCCTCATCTAAGCTGACACATCCAACATTGATTACTGTGGCAGCAAGACACTGACTAACAGAACTAGTAGTCTTCTCCTCATCTAAGCTGACACATCCAACACTGATTACTGTGGCAGCAAGACACTGACTAACAGAACTAGTAGTCTTCTCCTCATCTAAGCTGACAGATCCAACATTGATTACTGTCGCAGCAAGACACTGACTAGCAGAACTATTAGTCTTCTCATCTAAGCTGACACATCCAACATTGATTACTGTGGCAGCAAGACACTGACTAACAGAACTAGTAGTCTTCTCCTCATCTAAGCTGACACATCCAACATTGATTACTGTCGCAGCAAGACACTGACTAGCAGAACTAGTAGTCTTCTCCTCATCTAAGCTGACACATCCAACATTGCTTACTGTGGCAGCAAGACACTGACTAGCAGAACTAGTAGTCTTCTCCTCATCTAAGCTGACACATCCAACATTGATTACTGTCGCAGCAAGACACTGACTAGCAGAACTAGTAGTCTTCTCCTCATCTAAGCTGACACATCCAACATTGATTACTGTGGCAGCAAGACACTGACTAACAGAACCAGTAGTCTTCTCCTCATCTAAGCTGACACATCCAACATTGATTACTGTGGCAGCAAGACACTGACTAACAGAACTAGTAGTCTTCTCTCTCATCTAAGCTGACACATCCAACATTGATTACTGTGGCAGCAAGACACTGACTAACAGAACCAGTAGTCTTCTCCTCATCTAAGCTGACACATCCAACATTGATTACTGTGGCAGCAAGACACTGACTAACAGAACTAGTAGTCTTCTCCTCATCTAAGCTGACACATCCAACATTGATTACTCTGGCAGCAAGACACTGACTAACAGAACCAGTAGTCTTCTCCTCATCTAAGCTGACACATCCAACATTGATTACTGTGGCAGCAAGACACTGACTAACAGAACTAGTAGTCTTCTCCTCATCTAAGCTGACAGATCCAACACTGATTACTGTGGCAGCAAGACACTGACCAACAGAACTAGTAGTCTTCTCCTCATCTAAGCTGACACATCCAACATTGATTACTGTCGCAGCAAGACACTGACTAGCAGAACTAGTAGTCTTCTCCTCATCTAAGCTGACACATCCAACATTGATTACTGTCGCAGCAAGACACTGGCTAGCAGAACTAGTAGTCTTCTCCTCATCTAAGCTGACACATCCAACACTGATTACTGTGGCAGCAAGTCACTGACTAACAGAACCAGTAGTCTTCTCCTCATCTAAGCTGACAGATCCAACATTGATTACTGCGGCAGCAAGACACTGACTAACAGAACTAGTCGTCTTCTCCTCATCTAAGCTGACACATCCAACATTGATTACTGTGGCAGCAAGACACTGACTAACAGAACTAGTAGTCTTCTCCTCATCTAAGCTGACACATCCAACATTGATTACTGTGGCAGCAAGACACTGACTAACAGAACTAGTAGTCTTCTCCTCATCTAAGCTGACACATCCGACATTGATTACTGTGGCAGCAAGACACTGACTAACGGAACTAAAGTACTGTCGGAAATAGAAAAAAACTGTTTTTAGGCTGTTACTCTGTATCCCTAAAATTGACACAATTGCAAATAGCATATGTCGAAATAACCCATATTGGCCTAACTGGGCGTTCAGGGGGATGCGTAATTGGATATCCAGAAAAGCATGTTTTCTCGTAAAATCTGGCAAAACTTAGAAAAAATACGAATAGCTGCTGAAAACAATAGATCAGACTATAGATGGCAAATAGGTCGCTCAGACAGGTATGACGACGGACCGTCGACTCACTTGACATGAAATGCAGGTGCTGCCCTCAGACACAAGGATCTCAGATATATTTTATGCTTCTTCATGTGTATTGAATCTGTCTCTATTGATTATCTAATCGTAGCTAATGACTCTATCCCCAAGCCCGACCCCAACTACTGTCAGCAACACCCGTCTCGGTGTTGCTTTTGAGACGACCCCTCCTACCTGTTTCTTTTTATATTGATAGTGAGACTCAATGGTATCTATCTCCTTAATAGTTTCAGTATTAAAGTTGTTATTTTTTACGTCTGCTATAGTTTATAATAAAACTAAGTCTAATTTCATAATGGATATTCAAAAAGTGTCATTTGTTATACAATATCATCGCACACTAATTTGCATAAAGCCATGGTCTGCTCCAAATAAGTCGCTTCAGACTTTGAAAAAACCTGCACTGCTCATTTCTGCACTAATGTTTCCTCAGTAAAATCCTTCTTTAACATTTCCTATCTCCCTCCCACTGAGACTGTAGTTAGGCCGAACTTAGTTTAACACATATTTCACACTTTCACATATTAACTACCTAAATTGTCGATATAAATGTGAAAAAAACAGTTTCTTTCTATTTCCGACAGTACTATAGTAGTCTTCTCCTCATCTAAGCTGACACATCCAACATTGATTACACTGGCAGCAAGACACTGACCTCGGCACACTGCTGGATGGTGCTGGGACCCACGCCACCGTCAACCTCGATGTCCAGGCTCCGGGACTTTTCACGCAGGAACTGCACCTGTCACAACAAATATCTGACTAAGTTGTGACTGACTATCATGCCACAACAAATGTTCACAGTCAATCCCTGTCACTTCAGTACACCCAGAATATAACGTACAAGCTGGGACTGAATTAGTCGTGTTTTATGCCACTCAGTCATTTTCCAGTATTATAACGGCAGGACACACGGAAGTTTGATTCACATGTTACACCTGTACCAACATCTAACCCAGGTTTTCCAAGACCTACCCAAACTGACCAAGGGGAAGGTCACATGAACACTTGATCCATGTTCAAGGGTGAGACATATATATCATTTGCTATGTTATTCAATAAGTGACATTGTAATCTTCAGGGAGCATTGAACTATGCAGTTCTGTACCCATCAGTTCTCGACCATACTTCAGTAGATACAAGCAGCTGACCTTTGACAAACATTCCCCCATAAACTTCTGTCCCCCAAAGCCGGGGTTGACGGTCATGACGAGCACAAGATCCACCATGTCCATATAAGGCAGCACACCATCTACACCGGTCGGGGGGTTAATGGCCAGACCCACCTAAACAATACATAGAGGGTTAAGAAATCTGTGACCTCTTCAATATCTACCAATAGTCACCTTCGACCCCTATCATTAACAAATGCAGTAATCTTAGTCCGTTGCCTATAGCCATGCAAAAAAAAACAATCACTTGTTTAATTTTCAAAAATATACTCATGGAAACGATTAAGGGAACACATGAAAGTACAAGTGTTCCTTTATTTATTTCCAGAATTACACCCACAGTGCAATACATACCGTGTGAAGAAACCTGGAAAAGAATAAAGGAACTTTTGTACTTTCATGTGTTCCCTTATTCGTTTCCATGAGTGTATATTGATAGATCATATTTTTAAGCCTTAAGTCCAAGTCTTTGTACATTTGAAGTTTGAGGAAAACAGAAATAGGGCTGCAACTCCAGTATGAGAAAAATACGATACATGTCATGAATATTGGGTAACGATTACAGGGTGATGATTACCTATACAAGTCAGCAGTACATGTATTTATCTTTAATCTATATTAAAACAGTACTTGATTCAGCTTGATTTAGCCATGTTGACAGCGTCAATACCCAGTGATCACATATAGACAAAGAAGATATACAAAGTGTGTATTCCTTTCTGCATATCTTGCTTTGAAAAATACCACACACATACAAGTAAAACACTCCCTTTTATAAAAGTCATGAATATAGTTCTTGTGAAAGTGAATTACACAAAAATGAGTAAGTGAGTGAGTTAAGATTTTAAGTCACATCGACAATATTTCTGCCATATCATGACTAAAACTAGTTCTAAATTCATGATAATGTAATTTTCTGATTAAATTGATATTTTATGCTTATCCTGACTCATGCTTAATTGCTTGTCTCCTTCTTCTTTGCGAACTATAGTGGACGTAAAATCACTCACCCCACGAGTAGCCTCCCTTTGATATTTGGCCCCAAAACCGTCACATGATCAGACATGCTCTTCACACTCTCCGAATATGTGCCCGAAACCCGGATCTACAGGAAAATCCAGAGTGCCATGAGGGGAGGTTGGGAGGGCTGACCTCATGAGTCAGGGTAAGTATAAAATATCAATTTTAATCAGAAAATTACATATTTTTCCTTATCCTGACTCATGCTTAATCGCTTGTAGAATCCGACGGAAACGGTGGTGGGTCAAGCCACTCTGGATTCTCTGCTGATTTACGTCCTGCATACCCCCCTAGGGAACTTCTAATGGCACTGTGTCCTTTCTTCCAGCTTCCTCTGATGAGTCTGGGGGGACCACAACTTGTCAGATTTCTCTGGAATCGTCTTCTCCTGACATTATGTGTGGATTTATGCAACTCCATATCTTGATGCTCGCATCAAGTGGAGAAGCGACCCTTCTTCATGTAGAAGTAAGTACTTACAAGTACAGGGTCTGTCACTCATGCTAGCCTGTCCTAGACTTGCGCATGGACTCTAAAGCTCTAACTCTTCCGAGTGTTGGCTTTTACAAGTCACGTGATAAATAGGGTGAGATTCATCTCAGCGTCTTTGAGGAACCGTCAATTGTTGTGCTACAAACTGGTGAATGCCGGAGACGTCCTCGGTAGCCATGTCTCTGAGGTAGTGGTTGGCAAACACCGTCTCCTACTTCCAAAAGCAGCCCTCCATTATTGTCGAGATGGAGCATTTCCCATGCAGAGCAAGTGTCGACGCCAGTGCTCTGACTTCATGAGGATTGGAGGCTCATGGAGGCTCAAGTCCTGCTGCTTTGTAGGCTCTTAACATGACGGCTCTCATCCATATTGATATTGTTGTACGTGAGACGTCTGTAGGCGTCTCCGTAGATAGAGGGATGAAAAGGCGCTTGAATTTTCGTCTCCTCGTTTTTGACCTTTGTAGGTAGACTTTCTCTGACTGGGCATAGGGATAAATCTTGAGTATCCTGTGGCCCTAGAATTGACGAGAGTGCTGGGATATAGAACTGTCTGTCTGGTTGACCGGGCAGTTGGTTCCTTGCTATGAAGTCCCATCTCAATCCCAGATGTACAGTGTCACGATGTGCGTCAAATCGTGTTCGTTCAAAGTCCAGAGCATGTATTTCTGACATCCGTGCTGCTGTTGCCAAGGCGATCAGGAACAGAGTTTTATGAGTTAAACACTCATAGGATGTCCTTTCTAGTGGTTTGTAAGCGTCACTGGAGAGATGCTGCAAGAGCACGCTGAGATCCCGTCCGGTTCATCTATGTAGAGCTAATGTGACTGCTTTTGCTGCTCTGGCGGAATAATCTTTTCTTCAAGCAAGTAGTGATACGGTCCATGCGTGTAGCTGAAATTCTGTTGGATTTCCGTGTGCTTGCTTCGTGTGCGGATGAACTAGTAGGTTTGGCCATTCTGGGAGTTGCAGGGTTGGATTTCCGAGTTCTTGTATGAGAATGGGAAACCACACTCTCGCTGGCCAGTAGGGCGCGACCAAAATCAGTTGCAGCTTCTTCGTCTGCTTGATTTTCTGAAACACCTTCGGTATTAGAGCTGGAGGAGGGAACGCGTAAGCGTTTAGTCCTTCCCAAGATATGCTTAAAGCATCTGTTGCCCATGCTTGTGGATCTGTAATCGGAGAGACGAATGTTGGTAGTTGTTTGTTGAACTTTGTCGCAAACAGGTCTATCAGTGGAGATCCTATCGTCTGATTGATGCATCTGAACGCCTCTGGATGTAACATCCACTCCGTCGGGGATGGTTGCGTTGGACAAGATAGGGTGTTTGCTATCACATTTTTGGCTCCGGGAATGTGGCATGCTTTTATGTCGATGTTCAGGTTGTCTATTATGCTAAATAGCTGAAAGCTGAGGTCTAGCAGATTCCTTGATCTTGTTGATCCTTGTCTGTCGATGTAGAACGCCACTGTGGAGTTGTCCATATGCATCATCAGCTGTGCGTTCCTTAGTATGCTGGACCAGTGTAGTAAGGCGTTTATTTCTGCTTTCATTTCGAGCATGTTGATGTGCAGACTTTGTTTCTGACTCGACCATTTTCCCGCTGCCACTTTGTTGTTGAGGTGAGCTCTCCATCCCTGAAGAGATGCATCTATGTAGAGATGAGTGTTGGACTCCGGCTCTGATAAGTAGGTTCCTCCGCAAACATTCGACTTCCGAGTCCACCATAGTAGGTATGGTTCCAGTTCGTCCAGTAGTTCGAAGGAATCCAGCCTGTCTAGATGAGCGTTCACAAACACTTGTAGTGGGCGCAGTTGTAGTCTTCCTCTGCATGTCATGTCTTGTGCTGACGTGAGGAGACCGAGTAGGCTCTGCCAACTTCGTAGTGGTAACGGAGAGAGTAGTGCTTGAGATATCATCTGTTGTATCTTGACCCAACGTTCCTCTGGAACGACTATGCGATTCGCTGATGTGATGAGTCGTATTCCTAGAAATTGAAGATTCTGTGTAGGTTCTAGTTCCGATTTGAGGAGATTTACTAGCCATCCTAGATGAGTGAGTAGCCTGATGGTTAAGTCTAGTTGCAGTCTGAGTTGACTGGGATCTTGATGAGCCTGAATCCCGTCGTCCAGGTAAAATGCACTGCGTAGACCTCGATGATGTTGGTATGTGATGATGGGCTTTGTCAATCAAGTAAACAACCAGGGGGCTGACTATATTCCAAAACGTAGCACCTTCCATTGGTAATGACGTCCGTTGAAGAGGAATCGAAGGTATCTCCTTGAGTCCAGGTGTATTGGGATGTGAAGATACGCATCCTGTAGGTCTATGCTGGCGAGGTAGTCTAACGGACGGACGACTTGTCATAGTTGAGAAAGGTGTATCATCCTGAACTTTGCAGGTCTGTGTAGATAATCCTGGTTGAATTTCCTCATGCTGTAGATTAGTCAGAACTTTTCTATGGAATTTTTCTTTGGTACCAGGAAGATTGGGGAGTAAAAACCGGGCGTGATGAGTTCCTGTTTTATTTCTTCGACTGCTCCTTCTCGAGTGGAGTTGTGATGGCGTCGAGTAGTTTCTCCCTCTGGTCAATAGCATAGTTGTGCATCCGAGGAGTGCTTGTCAATGGTGGAACTGCTTGTAGTTGTATCTTGTATCCTCTGCGCAGTATCTGGAATACGTAGTTGTCCTGAAGAATTCCCCAATTCTCCCAGTAGTGTTGTAGACATCCACCCACTGTCGAAGGTTGTATGGGAACGGCTGGGGGTGGAAGACTCCAGTCGTTCCGAACCCGTCCATTAACGTCTAGCATTCCTGGCACTTCAATTTCCCCTGCGAAGATAGCTGATGCTGACCATGGAGCTCTGTACAAAGTCTTCTCACTCTCACTCCAATTACGGGAAGATAGTAGCCCTTGTCTTCTCAGTAGCGTCAACCCTGCTGATGTAGATGCCAGACGCTCCAATATAAACTGCTGGTCTTTCTTCTGGGTCAGCAATGCCGAGTAGATCATACAATCTTCTTCCGAGGTGGAATTCCTAAACTTCGCATGAGGGTATCATTGATGGCTCTTGATCTGGCTAGACCAAAGAAGGTACGCCTGGTAGTTGTGTCTAGTTGTGCTAGCTTCTTATCGTCCACTTTATAAGTCCTAGTACAGGCGTCGTTGATGATTTTGTAGTTCTCGTCTATCTCTGGGGCCTTCATGAAGGGTTCCATATGGTGTAGAGAGAACTTCTTGGCGTTGAATGGTGGTATACTTTGACTCTGGAACTTCGTTGCCTTCCTGATGGCTGTACTGAGGCTCTCTGGTACATTCAACACAGGATCTATGGGTGGAAGGGTGAGCGTTGTTTGACATCATCTACGTGAATGCTTCATTATCCTCTTTAGAAGGTGATGCAAGCTCCAATCCATTAGCCATCCAAGACTTGATCTCTGTATCGGAGAATATGATTCCACCATCATCTTCAGATTCAAACGCATCTTGTTCTGAAGACCGCTCTACGTGGTGATCCACGTGGAGACATTCGCGAAAGCCTTCATGGAGATGCGTGTGGAGACCTGCGTGGCGACCTATATGTGCGTGAAGATCTGCGTGGAGATGAACGTGAAGATCTTCCTGAAGACCTGTGCGAAGGTGATCGATCCGTATAAAGATCCTCCCTGGAGTCTTGAGACGTATTCCTGCGCGTTTGAGAAGGTGAAGATTCTCTTCCGTGGGATGTGAAGTACGTTCGCGCAGGTCCGTGATGATTGTCCGAGTCTGAAGTCGAGGATGATCTGCGATGCTCCGGTGAACATCTGGTTCTCCTTCGTGAATGCTCCTTTTTCACTGCAGGCTCATCGTTGTCCAGGTTGACAGGTTCTCGGGAAGTTGTCGTGGATGACAGTTGAGTACGTGATCCTTCACGAACGTTCCCTTCTTCAAGCAGGCTGCCATCTTCACTCGGATGCGATCTGCAGGCTGCCTGTCCTTCGTGCAGGTTCGTCGTAGATGGTGTCTTCACTGCAGCCTTCTGTGCGAACCTCCGTTCCATCAGGTCCATCATCTGCTAAGTAACCTTTCTGCATGAAGATACCCGGGTTGAAGGTCTGCGCTGACAACTGCTGCTCCAGATGACGACGCATCTGAACGTGCTGAGGCTCCTTCCAAGGACTGCCTGTCGTCTCTGGTCTCAGAAGTCTGCGTTGATAAGACGTCCGACTGCGTTGATATGGCTGCTGACGTCAATGTAGAAGAAGACCTCGTCTTCTTCCTAACTGTTACTTCAGGAATCAAGATGGGTGGTTCATCGTATACGTCTGCTTCGTCCGGTGGGGTGATATCTGCGGCGAAGGACCTCGTCTTCTTTGCTGCCCCAAGGAAGACTTCGATGAAGTCTTATCTGTAGACGATTTCTTCTTCAGCGCAGATGATGTCCTGGTCTTCTTAGACTGCGACGAGGGTAGTTGAGACGATAACAATCTCTTCCTGGACCCAGAGCTGCCATCTGCCACAGTCAACAGCTCCAAAGTAGCCACCGGCAAATCACTGGAATGGTGCATCTCAGCAGACAATAATACACGGTTATCAACACATTCACTCTGTTTAGACATGACTTGTAAACATCATCTTGACCTGTCCTTGGCACGTCTAAGAATGGAATATAAATAATTAGTAAATTCAATTTCAGATAAAAGCTGACAAAGTTTACAGCGGAGGCTGGAAGAACATGTAGAAGTGCAGTTAGGACATAATGAATGCGGAACAGCAGCCGACAAACGAAACCTGCAACGAATGCAAGTTTCCATCAAATGTAAACGCGATGAAACATCATGTCAACAATGTGAATAAACGGAAAATTTGGTACAAACCATATTGTTGGTATATCCTTGCCAAAGACCGTATAGAGCTAATTTAGTAGTCAAAGCCTAAAACAAAAGGATATAATGCCGTATAGGGGACCCAGGCGCTCTCACAACCGTCTTCTAGGGCGAAGAAGGAGAGAGTGAAGAGCATGTCTGATCATGTGAGGGTTTTGGCGCCAAATATCAAAGGGAGGCTACTCGTGGGGTGAGTGATTTTACGTCCGCTTTTTTGAAGGGAACTTCAAAAGGGGATTCAAGTGTTCCACTATAGTTCGCAAGAGGAAGGAAACAAGCAATTAAGCATGAGTCAGGATAAGGAAAAATAATACATATAAATCATAAGACCCTGTCAACGAAGGGCAGTAAAATTACTAGATTATCACAGATTTGTTAAAACTAGATCAAAGAAAATTAAAATCATATACTAACAATTAACAATATGAGATAAAAAGTGGCAAGAGATCGCTAGGAACGGATAGGTCACCATACTAGGGACCGTGGGGACTTACAATACTTCTAGATGGATTTATACCATCCCTTCAGCTGCTTGTGACTGCAGATAATGTTAGCCATTTATCTAATAACTACAAATATTCAACGATTAAAATTGATGGTAGCCATGAATTTTCTGTGATTGAAGTGGACTTACATACCCTCTCAAGGGGAAACAAATTAATGAATGGATACCGTTCATATCACAGAATGCACAGCTGAATTGTAACAGATTTAAACTAAACGTTTCGTGGTGAAAAGCATACATTTAGCATTTCAACATAATGTCAAATCCAGGATAGAATAGTTCCCTAACAAATACTTGTCATAAGAGGCACCACAGTGGGTTTGACCGTCAGATGATCTGATTGTATGTCATCATATGGATGGATGCTCATGATATTGATCACTGGATTGTGAAGACTCATTTACCTATAGGCTCCTGGCATACAGCAGGGAAATTGTGCTATCCTAAACCCAAAGTGACGCTTTACAATACCCTAATGGTATTGCTACACTACTTAAGTGCAAGTGTACTGTCTTTGTATTGTGGTTTGAGCCAAAACATTCTACTATTTCAAATATAAAATGGTGTTGGCAGCTCAAAACTTTCAGTCTCTCAGTCACTTATAACTGACCTATCCCACAAGGCCAGACTGAGGAGACCCAACATGTCATACGATCATCTACCATGTGTTTTGTGCTGACCGAAGATCACCTTATTCAAAATCACTCTTATCCTGTAGACAATGTGAATATTTACAAGAAAACTATGAAGGAATGCATCTGCAAACATTGTAATAAGTAAATCAAGTTAGTTTTTGCCAACTTATTCACCAAAATAATAAGACATAGCATATGATGACCTTCATTCCGGCCTCCTTAATCATCCTGATACATCTTCCTGGATCCTCAGCTGCCTCCAGGTGGAAGGAGTACATGTCTGCTCCAGCATCAGCCATAGACGACTTCCCCAACATCGACTCACCCACTGCACTGCAACACACAACATCACACTGTGGAAGAAGAACGTCTTCCCCAACATCACAGACACTCACAGACACCACCCACTGCAACACACAACATCACACTGTGGAAGAAGAACGATTCCCCCAACATCGACTCACAGACACCTCCCACTGCAACACACAACATCACACTGTGGAAGAAGAACGTCTTCCCCAACATCGACTCACAGACACCACCCACTGCAACACACAACATCACACTGTGGAAGAAGAACGTCTTCCCCAACATCGACTCACAGACACCACCCACTGCAACACACAACATCACACTGTGGAAGAAGAACACCTTCTGCAACACACAACATCACACTCACAGACACCTCCCACTGCAGACACCACCCACTTCCATCGACTCACAGGACACCTCCCCACTGCAACACACACAACATCACACTGTGGAAGAAGAACGTCTTCCCCAACATCGACTCACAGACACCTCCCACTGCAACACACAACATCACACTGTGGAAGAAGAACGTCTTCCCCAACATCGACTCACAGACACCTCCCACTGCAACACACAACATCACACTGTGGAAGAAGAACGTCTCCCACACATCGACTCACAGACACCACCCACTGCAACACACATCACACTGTGGAAGAAGAACGACACCTCTCCACCTGTGGAAGAAGAACATCGACTCACAGACACCTCCCACTGCAACACACAGCATCACACTGTGGAAGAAGAACGTCTTCCCACATCGACTCACAGACACACACAACATCACACTGTGGAAGAAGAATTCCCCGACGCATCGACTCACGACACCTCCCCACTGCAACACACAACATCACACTGTGGAAGAAGAGCGTCCCCAGCATCGACTCACAGACACCTGTGGAAGAAGAGCGTCCCCCACTGCACACACACATCACACTGTGGAAGAAGAGCGTCTTCTCCCAGCATCGACTCACAGACACCACCCACTGCAACACACATCACACTGTGGAAGAAGAAAGCGTCTCCCCAAACATCGACACCTCACAGACACCTCCCACTGCAGCACACAACAACATCACACTGTGGAAGAAGAACGTCTCCCCCGACATCGACTCACAAACACCTCCCACTGCAACACACATCACACTGTGGAAGAAGAACGTCTTCCCCAACATCGACTTACAGACACCACCCACTGCAACACACATCACACATGTGGAAGAAGAACCGTCTCACCCAGCATCGACTCACAGACACCACCCAGTGCAACACACATCACACTGTGGAAGTACACACATCTCCACACACAAGATTGCAGTGATATCTTCACCTTCCTGAATCAGTCGACACACACTTGACATGCTTCCTGCTCAACAAACCCTGACAGCGCGAGAGATTGCCTGTCTCATCCAGAGTTACATACAACCCAGCAAGACATGTTGCTTTCAGCTATACTGACCGAGCCCTTAATTCTACAATATTTATCTCTTTCTTCCACTTAATTGTTTACCTGATCATCCTGCTGTAGGGAGGCAACAGTTATATGAATGTGTGAATGACATGAAAATGTAACTTGGATCACAACAGAGCTTTCATCATTAGTCATCATCATAATGCCAAATGTCATTGGATCAACCAGAGCTTAGCTATCATTGTTCATCATCATAATGCGATCATTCATGTGATCAGCCACGTGTTTAGCTATGTGTTAAGCCATAACATGCTCCGCCATGTGTTAAGCTATGTGTTAAGCCACAATGTGTTTAGGTACAACGTGGTAGAACCTAAGTTAGATCTTTCCATTGGACCATGCTTATTACATTTGTTCTTTTCTGGCTTTACAGCAAATTACAACAAAGGCAAGATATAATAAACTCGAGCAGTCAGTTGTTTGAAAAAGTCCTCTGGTGTGACAATTTAGGCTTGTGAGAAGTTAGTTCATGTCAGTTTGCCGTGTAGTAACATGGATGCGCGGACTGTGTCTGCTGGGCACTGGTGAGTCACAGTGTCGACTACTGTTGATGATACATGGCAGTCTACCAGTATACTGTCCACACCATAGGCTGCCGCACTGACTTTGGACACGATAGTCTGATTTACATCCATAGATTGACATCTAATCAACCTCCTGTCTGTTAGTAAGTTGTACTTATTGAATACAAGCTTTAAAACTATGCGTAAACACAAGCGGTGACTGGCAAAAGTGCGAGGGGCTTCCATGGTCTAAGGGAGGTAAATCTTACAATAGGCGACGTAAAATTACTAGATCTACTGTTCAAGCCGAAGAAAAGTTGTGTCATGCCATATATCAAAAGGTGAACTTTTTATCTACATATTTCGATTACAACTCTTATTTCTCTACGTCAAATAGACTGTGAAATAATGGAAGTAAACCTTTTCAGGATCGGAGACCATCATGTGCATCTCAAAGAAAACTCCAGGCAGTTTCGGCCTCAAACATTCCACCACGGGATGACCGAATGTCAGATTGGGCACAAAATGACCGTCCATCACATCAAGATGCATATAGTCAGATCCACAATTCATGAACCGTTGACATTCAGAGGCCAGGTCCGAGAGATCGGCATTCAATATAGAAGGTCCGATCCTACATGCACATCCATTCGACAGCGCCATCTTGGTTCAACTGAGGTCAAGGTTGAATATTAAATCAAAATAGAAGTTAGATTGCATTGCATTTGATTGGCTGACAAAACAATTTGTTGAGTTTTCTGTTCCACACTGTGGCGCAGTGATGAATCAGCATAAAACATCATTTCCACAGGCCATTGCATATCACGCGCGCGAACGTTACTTTTTTTCTAAACAAACGCGCTCATTCAAAATGTTTAATGCAAGCTTTTTCATTTCGATTTTCATATCATTTTGCATAGGTTTTGTAGATATTCTACAACGGCAGATATACTATTATGCTGACTGCATGGAACTCAGGTTGGGAAACTGGATGTAACGGATACACTGAAGGAGGTGGGAAGTATAGTGATGTACAGATAGACTGAAGGAGGTGGGAAGTTTGATGTACAGATAGACTGAAGGAGGTGGGAAGTCTGATGTACAGATGAACTGACTGGGAAGGATTACAGATGACTGAAGGAGGTGGGAAGTCGGATGTACAGATAGACTGAAGGAGGTGGGAAGTCTGATGTACAGATTGACTGAAAGGAGGTGGGAAGTCTGATGTACAGATAGACTGAGGTGGGAAGTCGGATGTACAGATAGACTGAACTGAACTGAAGGAGGTGGGAAGTCTGATGTACAGATAGACTGAAGGAGGTGGGAAGTCGGATGTACAGATAGACTGAAGGAGGTGGGAAGTCTGATGTACAGATAGACTGAAGGAGGTGGGAAGTCGGATGTACAGATAGACTGAAGGAGGTGGGAAGTCGGATGTACAGATAGACTGAAGGAGGTGGGAAGTCGGATGTACAGATAGAGACTGGAAGGAGGTGGGAAGTAGACTGGATGTACAGACAGATAGACTGAAGGAGGTGGGAAGTCTGATGTACACAGATAGACTGAAGGAGGTGGGAAGTCGGATGTACAGATAGACTGAAGGAGGTGGGAAGTCGGATGTACAGATAGACTGAAGGAGGTGGGAAGTCTGATGTACAGATAGACTGAAGGAGGTGGGAAGTCTGATGTACAGATAGACTGAAGGAGGTGGGAAGTCTGATGTACAGATAGACTGAAGGAGGTGGGAAGTCGGATGTACAGATAGACTGAAGGAGGTGGGAAGTCGGATGTACAGATAGACTGAAGGAGGTGGGAAGTCTGATGTACATATAGACTGAAGGAGGTGGGAAGTCGGATGTACAGATAGACTGGAGGTGGGAAGTCTGATGTACAGAGATAGACTGGAGGAGGTGGGAAGTCTGATGTACAGATAGACTGAAGGAGGTGGGAAGTCTGATGTACAGATAGACTGAAGGAGGTGGGAAGTCTGATGTACAGATAGACTGAAGGAGGTGGGAAGTCGGATGTACAGATAGACTGAAGGAGGTGGGAAGTATGATGTACAGATAGACTGAAGGAGGTGGGAAGTCTGATGTACAGATAGACTGAAGGAGGTGGGAAGTCGGATGTACAGATAGACTGGAGGAGGTTGGAAGTATGATGTACAGATAGACTGAAGGAGGTGGGAAGTCGGATGTACAGATAGACTGAAGGAGGTGGGAAGTGTACAGATAGACTGATGTACAGATAGACTGAAGGAGGTGGGAAGTCGGATGTACAGATAGACTGGAAGGAGGTGGGAAGTCGGATGTACAGATAGACTGAAGGAGGGGGAAGTCGGATGTACTGGTAGGAGGTGGGAAGTCGGATGTACAGATAGACTGAAGGAGGTGGGAAGTCGGATGTACAGATAGACTGAAGGAGGTGGGAAGTCTGATGTACAGATAGACTGAAGGAGGTGGGAAGTCGGATGTACAGATAGACTGAAGGAGGTGGGAAGTCGGATGTACAGATAGACTGAAGGAGGTGGGAAGTCGGATGTACAGATAGACTGAAGGAGGTGGGAAGTCGGATGTACAGATAGACTGAAGGAGGTGGGAAGTCGGATGTACAGATAGACTGAAGGAGGTGGGAAGTCGGATGTACAGATAGACTGAAGGAGGTGGGAAGTCGGATGTACAGATAGACTGAAGGAGGTGGGAAGTCGGATGTACAGATAGACTGAAGGAGGTGGGAAGTCGGATGTACAGATAGACTGGAGGAGGTTGGAAGTATGATGTACAGATAGACTGAAGGAGGTGGGAAGTCGGATGTACAGATAGACTGAAGGAGGTGGGAAGTCGGATGTACAGATAGACTGAAGGAGGTGGGAAGTCGGATGTACAGATAGACTGAAGGAGGTGGGAAGTCGGATGTACAGATAGACTGAAGGAAGTGGGAAGTCGGATGTACAGATAGACTGAAGGAGGTGGGAAGTCGGATGTACAGATAGACTGAAGGAGGTGGGAAGTCGGATGTACAGATAGACTGGAGGAGGTTGGAAGTATGATGTACAGATAGACTGAAGGAGGTGGGAAGTCGGATGTACAGATAGACTGAAGGAGGTGGGAAGTCGGATGTACAGATAGACTGAAGGAGGTGGGAAGTCGGATGTACAGATAGGTGGGACTGTACAGAAGGAGGTGGGAAGTCGGATGTACAGATAGACTGAAGGAGGTGGGAAGTCGGATGTACAGATAGACTGAAGGAGGTGGGAAGTCGGATGTACAGAGCTGAAGGAGGTGGGACTGAAGGAGGTGGGAAGTCGGATCGGATGTACAGATAGACTGGAGGAGGTTGGAAGTATGATGTACAGATAGACTGAAGGAGGTGGGAAGTCGGATGTACAGATAGACTGGAGGAGGTTGGAAGTATGATGTACAGATAGACTGAAGGAGGTGGGAAGTCGGATGTACAGATAGACTGAAGGAGGTGGGAAGTCGGATGTACAGATAGACTGAAGAGGAGGTGGGAAGTCTGATGTACAGATAGACTGAAGGAGGTGGGAAGTCGGATGTACAGATAGACTGAAGGAGGTGGGAAGTATGATGTACAGATAGACTGAAGGAGGTGGGAAGTCGGATGTACAGATATACTGAAGGAGGTGGGAAGTCGGATGTACAGATAGACTGGAAGGAGGTGGGAAGTCGGATGTACAGATAGACTGAAGGAGGTGGGAAGTCGGATGTACAGATAGACTGAAGGAGGTGGGAAGTCGGATGTACAGATAGACTGAAGGAGGTGGGAAGTCGGATGTACAGATAGACTGAAGGAGGTGGGAAGTCGGATGTACAGGAGGAGGGAAGTCTGATACAGATAGCTGGAGGAGGAGGTGGGAAGTCGGATGATGTACAGATAGACTGAAGGAGGTGGGAAGTCGGATGTACAGATAGACTGAAGGAGGTGGGAAGTCGGATGTACAGATAGACTGAAGGAGGTGGGAAGTCGGATGTACAGATAGACTGAAGGAGGTGGGAAGTCGGATGTACAGATAGACTGAAGGAGGTGGGAAGTCGGATGTACAGATAGACTGAAGGAGGTGGGAAGTCTGATGTACAGATAGACTGAAGGAGGTGGGGTCGGATGGACAGTCTGAAGGAGATGGGTACAGATGTACAGCTGAAGGAGGTGGGAAGTCGGATGTACAGATAGACTGAAGGAGGTGGGAAGTCGGATGTACAGATAGACTGAAGGAGGTGGGAAGTCGGATGTACAGATAGACTGAAGGAGGTGGGAAGTCGGATGTACAGATAGACTGAAGGAGGTGGGAAGTCGGATGTACAGATAGACTGGAGGAGGTTGGAAGTATGATGTACAGATAGACTGAAGGAGGTGGGAAGTCGGATGTACAGATAGACTGAAGGAGGTGGGAAGTCGGATGTACAGATAGACTGGAAGGAGGGGAAGGATGTGGGAAGTCGGATGATGTACAGATAGACTGAAGGAGGTGGGAAGTCGGATGTACAGATAGACTGAAGGAGGTGGGAAGTCGGATGTACAGATAGACTGGAGGAGGTGGGAAGTCGGATGTACAGATAGACTGAAGGAGGTGGGAAGTATGATGTACAGATAGACTGAAGGAGGTGGGAAGTCGGATGTACAGATAGACTGAAGGAGGTGGGAAGTCGGATGTACAGATAGACTGAAGGAGGTGGGAAGTCGGATGTACAGATAGACTGAAGGAGGTGGGAAGTCGGATGTACAGATAGACTGAAGGAGGTGGGAAGTCGGATGTACAGATAGACTGAAGGAGGTGGGAAGTCGGATGTACAGATAGACTGAGGACTGAAAGGAGTACAGATAGGTGAAGGAAGTGGGATGTACATGATAGACTGAAGGAGGTGGGAAGTCGGATGTACAGATAGACTGAGGAGGTGGGAAGTCGGATGTACAGATAGGCTGAAGGAGGAGGTGGGAAGTCGGATGTACAGATAGACTGAAGGAGGTGGGAAGTCGGATGTACAGATAGACTGGAGGAGGTGGGAAGTCGGATGTACAGATAGACTGAAGGAGGTGGGAAGTCGGATGTACAGATAGACTGAAGGAGGTGGGAAGTCGGATGTACAGATAGACTGGAAGGAGGTGGGAAGTCGGATGTACAGATAGACTGAAGGAGGTGGGAAGTCGGATGTACAGATAGACTGAAGGAGGTGGGAAGTCGGATGTACAGATAGACTGAAGGAGGTGGGAAGTCGGATGTACAGATAGACTGAAGGAGGTGGGAAGTCGGATGTACAGATAGACTGAAGGAGGTGGGAAGTCGGATGTACAGATGAGGTGGGAAGTCGGAGATAGACTGAAGGAGGTGGGAAGTCGGATGTACAGATAGACTGGAGGAGGTTGGAAGTATGATGTACAGATAGACTGAAGGAGGTGGGAAGTCGGATGTACAGATAGACTGAAGGAGGTGGGAAGTCGGATGTACAGATAGACTGAAGGAGGTGGGAAGTCGGATGTACAGATAGACTGAAGGAGGTGGGAAGTCGGATGTACAGATAGACTGAAGGAGGTGGGAAGTCGGATGTACAGATAGACTGAAGGAGGTGGGAAGTATGATGTACAGATAGACTGAAGGAGGTGGGAAGTCGGATGTACAGATAGACTGAACTGGAAGGAGGTGGGAAGTCGGA